TACACATCAGCATTCTCAACAAGTACAAAGACTGAAATACCCCTTCACTAACACCACTAACAGTTTCTTTACTGTTAGTTTAGCTATTGGTGTATCTGGATTTGGAGTTTTGGATTGTGTAGCTCTTGGTTCTTGTTGGACTTGTTCTGTAGCTCATTGTGATATCTTATTGCCTTATTGTGGAGGCATTAAGTTAGTATATTAGTTTATGCTCTTCCTTATGTTAAGTCATATGCCATTGACTTTATTCCCTTAGAATCCACTTGCACTCACAAAGTGAGCAAATAAATGAACCTTGACTAATGCCTCTACTCCATCTAATGCAAGCTGTTGAAGTTCATATTTTGCAGAGTTGAGTGTAATTTCTGTCAATTTATTTGAATAATAATTCTTTCTGAGTATTTCATATTTTGCAAATTTTACCCTGTTGAGTCCTATTTAGCATCAATATTTCTGGGGACTGAAGGGCTCGTATACTTTTTAGGAGTGTTTACATATTACATGATAACATATTGTGTTTCAATGGTTTTCCAGTGACTTTTATTTTGTTATTTAGTTACATTTGGGTTATAAAATAGACATGTAAGATGTTATCTTTATTGCTTAATTAGGTATGAGTTTACATATGTGAGATCTTTGATATTGGCATATAGTCTCTTATTGTAAAATGCTGCATCTGTGGCATCCTAAGGTTAAATTAAGAGTTTTTTTCCCTGCACTCATGATTTGTTTCTTCTATAGGATATGCTCATCGTGAAATCTTTTTGGAGTTACTTCGCTGATAAAAAAGTCTTTTTGTAGTTATATAAAAGCTCATATCATGCCATTGATACTGAACACTTTAAAATTATGAAATTTGTAATGTTGTACAGACTTCATCAAGAAAATCTCTCTAAAGAGTTGTGTGTATGGATTTCTTAAGAGAAATTGAATATTTCTTTTCTTAATTTCTGTGAAAGCTTGTATAAAAGAGAGACTTTATGGTTTGGTGAGACATTTGTTGAGCCTTATTACTGATATTTTCTTTTATTTTTCTTACTTTCTTCTCTTAGAAACCTCTTTAAATGGTAAGACTTTCTAATAGTTTCTCAAGGACTTCTGTTGTGTCTCCATATCTTTGATCAACTTTTATCATTATGAAAGTATGACATAAAGACTATCATCTTATATGACCTTTGCTAATTTTAATTAGTTGCCAAAACAATAAATAAACAACTTTCTATGTTACTTTTCAATTCAAACTGTTACTGGCAGTTACCTGTCTTTCTTTTACTTTTGCAGATAAAGGTAGGAGATCTTCGTATTTTGGCAAACATATCATTCCTTTTGGTTAGGAAGGATTGGTCTTCTGAGATTCGGTTGCATGCTTTCAAAATGTTGCAGGTTCATGTCCATATACCAATGCTAGATCCTATTTGAAAGTATTATGTACTAGTTCAGTTTGGTAAACTGCAAAGAGGACATATTAGTGTCAAGTGATAAATGTGATACATCTCTTCTGGATGGAATCATTCAATGTTTTGACATGGTTGTATTGATTTTTTTTCCTTTTTCCATGCTGTCTGTGTTGAGTAATTCATATATATGCTTGTTTCTATCTAAACTCTAAAGAATCTCTAATCATCAGGAAAATATCTAGCTTCAGTATATCCCGACCTACTGTGCCAAACCATGTATCAACTTGAATAAACATATGCAACTGAAGAATCTTCCTTTAGTCCGACAGAGTATTACTCATTTAATAGTTCCCTAACAAGCATGGTTTTAAAAAACAACCTGGAAACGGAACCTTTTTGGCCACCGGTTTCTGGGTTGACGGTCCGATTGTCCGGTTCGAATGGACGGCCCGTTCTGACAAAAAATTAAAAATATAAAATGGCCAAAACCGTTGAACGGGTTGACGGTTCGACCGCCTGGGTCAATGGCTTGTTGACTTTTTCAACGGTTTTTGGCCAAAGACGAGGTTTGGGGTAAAATGGAACCGGTTGCCTGGGTGGTTCCCGGGCCGAACAGTCCGACCGTCCGGGTCAACGACGTTTCGAAAACCATGTTAACAAGTACTTTCTGCTCAAAATTCATTGCTTGTTTCTCTAACAAGCATTTTCTGCTAAAAATTGATGAAAAGGTCATAAAACAACAGTGATCGCAGCTATCTGGGTTCTCGGGCAGGGTGGATTGCATATGATACACTTATCTGAAGTCAGTGGTATTTGTATGGCCTGACCATCATTTTTATTTATTTTTATTATTTTTTTTTGCAGCATTTGGTTCGGTTAAGATGGGAAGAATTGAATTCCATGGAAAGAAGAAACTTTGCCAATGTTGCTGTAGATTTGATTTCTGAGATGGCAAATCCTTGTGAAGAATGGGCTTTGAAAAGTCAAACAGCTGCGCTTGTGGCCGAGGTTTGTCTTTTTTACCTTGCCAGATTTGGGTTTTCTTCAACTTTCGATGGACAACACCCTCCTGGCCCCAAAAAAAGAAGAAAGAACTCTTCCTATTGTTGCACTCATTTCTTTTGTCTCTATGACAGATAGTTAGGAGAGAAGGGCTAAGCCTGTGGAAAGAACTCCTTCCATCTCTAGTTTCTCTATCGAACAATGGTCCTATACAAGTAAATTTCATCTTATTCTGTTTGCTATTGTTGGCTTGTTTTGTTACATTATGACCATAAAATTTTTGTGAGGTAGTTAACACAATTTTCCTTTTTTGTAGGCTGAGTTGGTTTCCATGATGCTGAGGTGGCTTCCTGAAGATATTACAGTTCATAATGAAGATTTAGAAGGTATATAACAGGACATGGTGCATGTCACTTTGTCATTATGATAAGTCTTTTCCTTGTCTGTTGAACTGTGACCTTTAAACTACTACTATATGTATTATACAGGTGATCGACGCAGGCTATTATTACGTGGGCTTACTCAATCGTTGCCTGACATCTTGCCTTTATTGTACACTGTAAGTGGTATTCTTTAATTTGTTATTTTCCAGCCCATTAATATGTTCCAGCATCATGAAGATGTCCTAATTTGTAATACAGTTGCTTGAGAGGCACTTTGGGGCTGCTTTGAGTGAGGCAGACAGACAACAATTGGACCTTGCAAAACAGCATGCAGCCACAGTAACAGCTATTTTGAATGCTATTAATGCATATGCTGAGTGGGCCCCTTTACCTGATCTTGCAAAATATGGCCTAGTTCATGGGTATTATTTTTGTCTTTTTTAGTGGTTCGATATGATTTTTGTCTTCTTTCTGCAAATATTTTAAACACCAAGTTTGGTCTTGATTTTTTTTTTTTTTTTCCATGGAATGGGTTTCCTTGTTTTTTCTTAAACAGATGTGGGTACTTACTTTCTTCTCCTGATTTCCGTCTCCATGCTTGTGAATTCTTCAAACTTGTCTCCCCAAGGTATTTAATGTGACATCTTGTGGAAACTTCTTTGTTCTTTCTAATGCAAATGGTTATCGAACTGGTTGTGTGAAGAATTCTCTCACTGTTCCTTTTTGGCTTGTGCTGATGTGACTTGCAGGAAGAGGCCTGTTGATGCTTCTGCTTCTGAATTTGATTCTGCAATGAGTAATATCTTTCAGATCTTGATGAATATATCTAGAGACTTCTTATGCAGAAGTAATTCAAGTGCTGGTGGCATGGATGACAGTGAATTTGAATTTGCTGAATATATATGTGAGAGTATGGTCTCTTTGGGTTCTTCAAACTTGCAATGCATTGCCTCAGATAGCACCATTCTTCCTCTATATCTTCAAGAGGTACTTTCTTATCAAATTAACATTGTTATCTCTAGAAATCTGCACTATCTTTGTCTTCAAGAGTACTTTCCTATCAAATTAACATTGGTATCTCAAGAAATCTGCACTATTTAGTGCACAGGTTCTGTGACCCAAATTATGATGATAAGCTAATTTTGATGAAATCACAGTCATCAAGGTGGTCCAGGGTTATGCAATCATAATAATTTTAGGATAATCCTTGTTTTTCTCTGTATTTACTGAGGACTTTAAGATGTTTTATAAAGTTGCATGAGCTGTGTCAGTCTCATGCTTGAAGAAGGAATTTTCGAGGTCTATTATTAATTAAGCAATTTATTAAAAGTTAAAACCTTGGGCTGACAAGCATGAGAATGTGGGTTCTAGTCTAAGAGTTGCCACTCTGTGCCAAAAAAAAGCAACAGTTAGGTTTGTATCCAATCTACCCCTACCCCCGATAACTGGGATCAACATTGGTCAATAGCCTTTTTTTTTGAAGAATAAAAAGGAAATTCATTAAATTGAAAAAAATGCAGTACGTCTCAAAATGCTGGTTGTCTAGATGACAAACCATATCCTTAACAGAATTACACTGAAAGGAATCAAAGTTAAATGGATTCAATTCCAAAGTGTTCCAGAAGTTCTCTAACAGATCTGCCTTGTGCACCCAGGCTGAAGTCATATTGCCCACTCCTGCTATCAGATTTTTATTTTTTGACTTGTCCTCAAATACCCTTCTGTTCCTTTCTTTCCAAATGGCCCAGCATACTGCAAATGGGATACATTTCCACAAGATTTTGGCTTTCTTGCTTCCTCTGATTTTAGGCCATGAGGAAAAAGGCTCTGCTGATGTCGCGGGATGAAAAGCAGCCACTCCAAACAGATGAGAGAAAAACTTCCACATAAAGTTTGCCACATTGCATGAGAAGAATCAGTGGAGAACTGTTTCCTCCGCTTGGCTGCACATATAGCAACAATTTGCATGCTGCAAGCTTTTGGATTTCAGATGATCACAAGTTAAGATACTATCATGTGCCACCAGCCAGGCGAAAGCCTCTACCCTTGGGGGTACAGGATTGCCCCACACACCTTTTATCTGATTTGAATCCCTACCATCTCTGAGAAGAGCCTTGTAAAAGGATTTAACTGAAAGTCGTCCTTCTATGCAATCTTTCCACCATAAACCATCTGTTGTATCTCTGGAAATGCTAGCCTCTTCCAATTTATCCAATAGCTGAATGCATTCTTCCACTTCTTGGTCCAATAAAGGTCTTCTAAACTTTGGATTCCAGACCACTTGCTCCCCCCTCCACTCGTAACACTGCTCAATAGGCACTTGCTGATCTGTCAATTTATAAAGTCTAGGACATACCTCACATAATCTTCCCACCTCCAACCACTCATCTTCCCAAAACCTTAACCTAAAGCCTTCCCCCACTTTAAACTTAACTAAACTTCTGAAATTTTGATTGAAGCTCATGATTCCCTTCCACACACTCACCCCATAGGAACTTCTTACCTCCCTGGATTCCCACCCGAACCTTACCACTCCATATTACCCTACCACCACCCTTCTCCATAATGCCTCCCTTTCTCCCTCTTGCCCAAACCTCCACAGCCGTTTCCCTAACAGAGCTTTATTAAATAACTTTACCCTTCTCAGCCCTAAGCCTCCCCCCTCCTTTGCTCTACAAACCTTCTCCCACTTAACTAGGTGGAATTTTTTGTCCCCCCACCCTTTCCTGTAGAAAATCCTGCTGAATTTTTTCCACCTTTGCAGCCACTTCTTTGGGAACTTTCAAGAGGGAAAAGTAATATGTTGGTAGGCTTGAGAGAACACTCTTGATGAGTGTGATTCTCCCACCCATAGAAAGGTACTTGGCTTTCCATCTGTCTAGCCTCCTCTCTACCCTTTCTAATAAAGGTTTCCATATACTACTTGATGATGCCCTTGCTCCCATTGGTAACCCAAGATAAATGAAAGGCAGCTCCCCTACCTTATATTCCAACACCTCTGTATACTGTCTCACTACCTCAACTCTTATGCCCCCAACTCCTATCAAAAAGCTCTTCTCTAAGTTCGCACTTTCTTCCAACATCTGTTTCTCCTTCCTCTCTGAATTGGGACTTTGGGTTTCGTAGGGGCCTGAGGGATCATGAACTTTCTTGTGTTTCAGACCTTTTGTCACTACTTGAAAGCGTTTTTTTGTACCCTCTCAGATCTGATGTGAGACTTTGGTCCCCTAATCCAAAAGGTTACTTCACGTGTGCCTCCTTCTTTAAGTCCCTTTGCTCTTCCTCGGGACAGTTGGGTTTTCCAGCTAAGGAGATCTGGTCTAGACCTGTACCTCCTAAAATTATTATTTTCTGCAGGGAGGTGTTCTATAGGAAAATCAACACTTCAGATTTATTGCAGAAGAGAAGGCCTTCCATGTGTTTGTCTCCTAACTGGTGTGTACTTTGCTGGGCTAATGATGAGGATTGCTCTCACTTACTTTTAACCTGTTCCTTTTCTGATGCTATTTGGGGTTGGATCTTTGCCTTGTTTTTGGGTGCAAGTGGAATTTGACTACAACTGTAGATCAGCTCTTTGACCCTTCCTTCTGTGTGTGGCCCACAAAAAATGGTAAAACAATGTGGAGGTGCATTAGAGCTGCTGCTTTGTGGACAATTTGGGAAGAAAGAAATGCGAGGATTTTCCAAGAGAAGGAGAGAAATATTCAGACTGTAAAGGATTGTATTTTGACCAGGGCAATCCATTGGCAGAGATCATTGGATTCCTTTAAAATATACTCCTTTGATGACATTTGGAGGAATTGGATAGTTGTGGTTAGTAGCAGTACCAGGAAGAACATGGTACCAGCTGTGTGGGTGCCTCCTTTTGAAGGCTGGACAAAGCTGAATTTTGATGGTAGCAGCCAAGGAAACCCAGGTCCTTCTGGGATAGGAGGGGTGCTGTGAGATAAAGACAGCAATATCTTAGCTTTATTCTCAGGCTCCGTGGGTATAGGAGACTCTATTAGAGCTGAGATTCTAGTGGCGGTACAAGGTATTCAGATTGCAGATCAGTTAGGAGTTCAGAATTTGCTTATTGAAGGAGATTCCAAAGTTGTTGTGGGTTGGTTAAAAAATCCATTCAGTTATTTGGTGCTACAGGGACATTATGAGGAAAGTTAATTGGTTTTCAAGGAACATGACTGTTAATTCTCAGTGGGTGGGTAGAACAGCTAATACCATAGCGGATATTCTGGGCAGCTCTGTAAACTTTCATTTCCTAGTCTGATGTAGTACATTGTTGTTGTTGAGGAGAGGTACCAGCTCGTGCCTCTCCTCGGGCAGTCTGTATTGTAACATCATATTGTTTCCTTTGAATAAAATATCACTCATTTATCAAAAAAAAGTTCACCTTTAGGCCAGTCAACATCTCAAAATTGGCTAAAATAACTCTTAGGTTCAGGACTTGGTTTGCTGAAGCGTCTAGGAATGTTAGGGTATCATCAGCATATTGTAGGTGAGTGATACTCAGGCCTTCATTTCCAACCTTGAATCCTTCTAACCATCCCCTTGCACTCCTTTCTTCATGATCAAGTTAGTGCCTCCATGACTATGACAAACGGGAAAGGGGAGAGTGGAACCCCTTGCCTCAATCCTCTAGAGGCTTGAAAAAATTCTGATGACACATCATTAATTAGCAGTGAGAAGGAGGCTGAAGAAATGCACCCATATATCCAACCCCTCCAAACCTCCCCAAACCCCATCAACCTTTACATTTCCTCCAAGAATCCCCATTCAACATGGTCATAAGCCTTTTCTATGTCTAGCATACAAACCAAATCTGCTATTCCACTTCTTAACCTTGAATTTATACATTCACTAGCAACCAACACCCAGTCCAGAATCTGTCTACCTTCTACAATGGCCATCTGAGTCTCCCTTATCACCTCTTGAATCACTTTTCTCAGCCTTCCTGCCAGTACTTTTGCCAATAGTTTGTAAGGCCTACTTAGCAAACTAATTGGCCTGAATTCTGTTATGTTCACTGCATCGCTTTTGTTCTGTATTAAAGAAACGAAAGTCGCATTCACCCTCCTATCTAGATTTTTGGATTTCCAGAACCCCTTGAACATCTGCATAAAATCCTCTTGTAAAAAATACCAGCAGCTTTTAATGAAGTTAAAATTTAAGCCATCTGGCCCTGGTGCTGTCTCCATTGATTTTTTTTAGAGCCTCCAAATCTCCAACTTCAAGATCCCTTTATAGCCAACCTGTCGCACTACTTCTTAGTCCCTTTGGTTCCAATTCTCCCAAGGATACCCAACTCCACCCTCTCCCTGTGTACAAGTTCTTATAATATGAAACCGCTTTATCTTGGATGTCTCCCCATGTGTCGAACACCTCCTTCTCCACTTGGATCCTCGTAAGCAAATTTCTCCTTCTCCCATTTGCAAAAGCATGGAAGAAAGAAGAATTCTTATCTCCCTCTTTCAACCATATGACCCTAGATTTTTGTCTCCACCTAACTTCCTCCAACATTAAATTCTCTAGATTGGATTCCAATACAGCCATATCATTTTGAGTCTCTGACTCTCTTCTAAGATCTCCTTCCTCTCATGCCTTTTAATCTGGCCAGCTTTTCCAAGATCTCTTTTTTTTCCTGTCATGCTCCCCTCTAAATGCTTCCTTCCTCCTCTCCCTTAATTCTTGCTTAATTACTTGCAGTTTTTAAAAAACTTTTATATCTGCTGACCCATGCACTTGTTTTCTACCCATTCTACAAAGTTTGATTGAAGAAGCCATCCATTGTTCAACCTGAAAGGTTTGAATTCTGTAACAGCCACAAATTTTCTCAACAGGATTGGTGTATGATCTGATAATTGAATGGTTAATGGTTCCTGAACCGCTTCTCCTACATAACCTGCCCGTCCAATCTTCAGAGAATAAGATTATGTCCAGCTTCTGAGAATGGCTGGAATTTGGTCATTCAACCATGTAAACTTCCCTCC